TTTACTATACTATAACATATTTCGAAATCAAGATCGCGATAATTTTCTATACTCTTACGACAATCAATTGTACCAACTATCGTTGTACCTACAATAAAGAAAAAAAAGCGTTAATACCATACTCATAGTTCAGTAACCAAATACTTTACAATATATACCCTTCTTAACATGAATTCCATGTTCGAGGAAAAATATCGTCTGCCTCCAATGTGTAACCCCACCTTGCGGCCCAGTTGTAAAACTAGTAATGCCATCAATCTTATCATTCACATTCTGCGATAATGGAATATAATGGCCGTCACGTGTAAACCAGGTATCAAAATAACCCAAGAATCCATGAACAGTACCATCACGTGATATTTCTAATGTGAACGGCGAAGTGAAATCCAATTGAGATTTACGAATTGTATGAAGAGGAACTTCCTTGAAAATATTAAAAGTTGAGAAATGAAATATGAAAAAACATCACAATAAGAGCATTTATTTAATATAATAACGTACTTTAATTGAAACTGTATTGGAAATAAGTGCATCTGATGTTACATGATCTATAATAGCACTTGTATAAATTGGACGTTTCATTGCTGTCATTTTAAATCACGAATAAAATAATAAAAATATTAATTGATAGAAAAAAAGGTAAATCACAATTTCATTATAGAAACATAGTACCATAAACATCATTCAAAAAATTAAAAGTATCGTTAAAAAGTTCATCATCTTCAATAGCAGCGAATAAAAGACGGCAATGACTAGGCGCAACTAAGCATAAGAATTTTCATCAGATATGATATCAAAACTATTCATTACGTATCCATATAGTTGATATGTAAAAAAACTTACTAATTCTGTCCGGTGCAAGTAAGCGATCACGCGCAACAATCAAAGAGTCGAGCATACCTTCAAAAAAAAGGAAATAACCCATCCATTCTGATATTATAATGTCAACTTTTTGTACAGGAAGAACAACGTCTTCTACCCTGCCGCTGAATAAGCTATCATTGATAGGTAGATTTTTAATAGATTTTTTTTACATAATTTGAAACGAGCTGTATATAATGTACACACGTGATCACATTATCTAATTTATTCTCCTCTACAATATCCTTTGCTCTATGGATAATGTTAGATTTGTCTACAGAAAGCACTAAAAAAATAGCATATATATATAGTGTGTTAGTAATACAATTCTAAACAAACATGTTTAATTAAAACAAGTTTAATTCAGAAAAAATCAATAACCTTTAGATGCACCGGCTTTAGCGGCAAACATTGACAGAATACAAGTGCCTAGAGAATAATTCATTAATAAAAAAATATTATTAAGGATTAAAAATTAACATCTTGC